CTCTCTCTCTCTCTCTCTCTCTCTCTCGCTCTCTCGCTCTCTCGCTCTCTCGCTCTCTCACTCTCTCTCTTGACACAAATCAGTTTTTCTCTCTTGAAATAGACAACAAAAAGGCAGCAGTTTTTCGGCGAGTTTGTCATGTTTCCGCGCGCCGGGGTGTTGCAAAGATATGGAAGTTTTATTGGCGATGTACACTTCGCCGCACACACGCACACACACGCCACCCGCCACCGGCACGGGCGTGTTACGTGTGTGTGTCGTGCGTTACGCTTTGCGATTCTGCTATGAGCAGTTGCCCAATTCGCTCAAAATAACCCTAAGTGAGCGTAGATCCCTCCCGAAATTTGAATTTCCGATTTCGCCGACATGGACTTCCAGCCCAAGACACCCAAGAGAGTGAGGTTCGCTGATCAACCGGAAAGCAACCCAAAGGGTGAGTCCGCGGATTCAATATCAACGCGCCCATCGAGCCAGCGTGGGATCGACGTTCCACGTGAGACCTCTATTCGTACTCTTACCCCTTTTCCTTCGCTTGGACGAGAGGATGAAGGGGATATCAAGTCGCAATCTTGCGGTCAAGACCCTTACGAAAGCAGTGCTAGAGGCATGCAATCGCTGGCGATCGTACCATACAGCGGCGGGGGTGCGGCGGGGCAGCCCCCTTGCCACCACCTGTTCGCCCTCTTGGAGGAATGCAGCGGGTCCCACGCTCAGGTTCTGCGTGACGCGGCCCTACCTCACGGTAGCTTTGGAGGCTTACCGACGAACACGAGACTGGAGAAAGGAAACGGCTTGCCCGCTGGCTCAGGAACCCAGCTAGGCCCAGTCTTGTCTCCGTTGAATGTCGAGGGAGGCAAGGAGCATTATCAATCAAAATGGATGATCGTTTCCAAGGAGCAGGTGGAGCAAACTGCTAAGAAGATGCGCGACCAAGCCGAGAAGAACAAAGCTTTGGAAACCACAGTCAAGAGCCACAAGCGCGAGCGCGTCCTGATCTACGACGCAGCCATGAAGCAAGTACGTTAAAACTGAATGGCACATGTTGCACGCTCCCGTGTGCTCCTCGGCATTCAAAAAACACTGCACCGTTGATGAGATTCGTTATTTGATACCGTATTACGTTTTCATCCACACCCAACGAAAGGCGGCCAAGAGAGAGTTGGAAGGCGTCGATGAGGTGAAACAGGTGCTCGAACGACAGCAAGGCATGATGAGGGCAGAGGTTGACCAGGAAATGCGCAAGATCAGTGACCTCTACCAGGAACGTTGCCGAGACTACGCTAGGATGGTATCTGATGAGTGTGACGGCGAAGACTCCAAAGCAGTCACTGGTAAGAGATGAAAAGTCTACTACTCTCAACATGAGATATCCTCGTCCCATGGTTCTCTACATTCTCCAGTGTAGTCTCTGTGAATCCTGGTAGGGAAGTCGTTTTTGCCGTGTAAAATCACATGCGCAGTTGTCTCTTGAACGACGAGAACCGAATACTACAAAATGTACTGCTGTAACGGGCGATAGGTGCAACGGAACCGTTGAGACATGTCCCCTGCTTGCAAATTTCGTAGATCTTCGGAAGGATTGGGCTCGCCAGAAGAAGACCATTGACCAACTTGTGCGATCTAGTCGGGAGGAAGACCGCCAGGTATTGTATGGCGTTTGAGCTACTGTCAGTGTCGGCATCCAAAATGCACTCCTGTGTTGCCGAAAATCGTGGTCTTGATGCACTGTGTTTGCGGAAGTGTGTTTAGAGGCAGCTCAATCGCAAGAACGGATGCCAGAGAACCGAAGTCACGTGACACCCGTGGCGTATCAATTTTCCGTAAGGATAAGGCTTTATGAATGAGTTGTCGATGTCCGTTAGAAGCCCGCTAGGGAGTCGAGTCGGTAGATCCTTCTCGTGCCACAGGAAGGTCGTTCATGGTACTAACTTGCGCGAAGCAGGTTTCGGCGATTGCTAGAGCGGTTGTCGAGCAGCTTCAGGAGGAGCGGAGCGACGAGATAGCCTCGCTCAGGGCCGCTATTTACTCGGACGTGAAGGTGCTGGTCTTGGTGTCCGTCTTTGACCTCTTGGTCGATGTCTCCGCCCATTTACGTGCCACAACCCTGAAGAATCCACCCGAGAGCATGCTTGAGGGGACAGGTTCTATGCGAGGCATGAGCTCGGAACCGGTCAACCTGACCACTCGTCGTTGAAACATTGGCATGTGTAATTGTCGTAGAGAGTGATTTGCGCATGTTGTGATATCTATCCTACTCTACCAATAGGTTGGCCCGTTGGTGACCCGATTTCACGACCCATTTTCGAATGTTGTAGGATTTATATCTGCCCCCGACCTCGAACAAAATGCCCGTCAGATGGAGTTCGAGAGCCGGGAGGTAGCCTTAAGAGACACCCTCGAAAGCGATTTCCAGGCAGACCTTGATGGACAGCTTCTGTTGGCAGAGATTCGGCATCAAAAGGAGATGAACCGGTTGCGGGTGGAGCTCGCTGGTAGCGAGAAGCCCACCACAGAGGCAAAAACCAGCGAAATCATCGTCTACAACCCGGAGACTCTTCAGTGCGCAGGAAGTGGTCAGCGCTCTTCGGGTGCGTCCTCTTTCACTGCATCTCCTTCTTTCTCGAGGCGCCACCTGCACAAGATGAATATTGGTGAAGCCTCTGGAGGCAACAGTGGTGCTGGCGGCGTACATGTGCCGACGACTCCTCGTGGGACGCAGCTGGGTAGGAAATTTCCCGTCTTCAAGACGCCAGTTCAGAAAAAAATCCCTGGTATCGGCAACAAGAAGGCTGTGAGGTGATACATTGTGGATGAGCGTATTGGGATCTTCGGTTAGGTTGATGGTATTGCTTTAGTTTGTAGCTTGCCGTCACATCAAAAATCGTTCTGACCTCTATCCGGCAAACATAAGAATAAGAATTTCAGCTGAGTTCGCACGCCACTATTGGCAAGAAGAACTGGTGTAGTCTACTCTGAAAGCCCGTCCGTACATCGGCACCAGTACAGTATAACCGTGTAGAGCTCCGAATGACCAGTAAAATTCAATGGTAGTCTTAGTTGGTTGCGGAGATGGCCTTTAGAACGTGTCGTACCTCCCAGACGTCTGTCGGGGACGACTCCCTCTTGGTAGCCCGGGTTCGAATTCGCCTCTCACCTACAAATGGTGGTGGACCCAACAAGCAGACTCCCCACTTGTGGAAGTTTTACAGTAGTGACGTCGCGGGACGTGGAGTAGTCGTAATTAAACAACATGCTCAGAAGATCGTGAAGGAGTGATTCGACTCGCCGCCAGCCGGTCGGGCTCTGGACACCCCTTAGAGAGGCCTTCATGTCTAGCAAACGAGAGAAAGGCTCCGAAAACAAATGTGGAGATGGCCTTTGAAAAGGGTCACATCTCTTTGACGATTCCCTCTTTGCACATGGTAGTCCAGAAAAGCCCAACCGCTTCATTGGGTAAACCTCAACATTGTTCTCCCGATGTAGCATGCTCTGCTTCGATCTCGACACCCACCTCCCAACGCGTACCCGTGCTGTAAATATCAGGCCGAAGGGGCACCCCGTGAGTGACTCGACCCGCAAGTCCCGCAACTCTTCTGCGGGAAGGCACACGAAAATCTCCACGATAACCCCTATCAGGGAGCACGAAGATTATCTCGACGTGGGCATCACAAGTGCACTCATGGTGTCGCCCACCAAGGCTATCCATGGTGTCGTCACGCCATCGATCGGCTCCGAAGGGGGGGTATCGGGCGAAGGGTCGTCGAGGCCAAAGAAGAGAGCGAAGAAGTTGTTCTCGTCTGGGTGAACCTAGAGCAACATCTTGTCTTTCTCGTAGTAGTCACGCCCATTCTACGGTAGAGGTTAGGGCTTGACCTCCCGTTGTATTCGGTTACGCGTGTGTCTAGATTCCACGTGACCGTGCGTTGTTGATTGTGTGAGCGGACGTCGTGCGTGCTTGTGATGTGGCCCTCCAACGGTGTTTGAGGTTGACTCGTCCTTTTTGGTAAGAAGGTACGCCGCGCGTGGAGAACGCATCAGACGCTTAGACCTACGAGCAGATCTACGTGCAGCAGTTTTACCTAGCGGCAGGGATTCGCTACCGCTAGGTGCGCAGGCAGGGAGTCGCTACCTTTGGGTGTGGCATAGGTATCGCAGCAGTGGAGGTCAGGGGAGGAGATATGGGGGGCACATTGTTCATGAAACTTTCCGCAAGCGAAGTCTAGAAGTTCTTATCGTCTTTCATAGGCCAGCTAGACACAGCCATGTCAGGTAGTCTCTGACGTTTTGAAAACGTACCAATCGCTACTCATTCCCAACGCCTACGTGTGGAACGCCTTCGTCCTCTACTCTCATCAACCGTGTGCACGCCGCAATGGTGCTGGCTGACCGTAAACCTCCAAGCAAAATCTGTTCAGCTCTCATTCCAACCCCGAGTTCAGCTAGAAAGTCGCCTTCCAGCTCATGTTCGTCTACGGCGGCGACCAATATGGCCCAGCCCAGGTCTCTCGCCCTAGTCGTGAGCGTAATAACCTCTGATAGGGTAGAGAATTTGGACGTGTTGATCACGACTGCGTTGGCGCCCCGTTGTTCGTTCACAAACAAGAGCTGGGAGGGCTTCGAAACGCTTTCGTCCGCAATAACCCTAAGCAGGCAACTGTCGTCGCCCCCAATCTCAACGTTTCTGGTGGGACCCGGATTATCTGCTTGTGTTTCGCCCGTCGATGCCGCTGCGGTAGAGCCAGCTGGGTCTCTACTGGCACCGGCCTTAGCCTGCAAAACTTGGTTCCCCCGAATTAAGAGTTCCTTTGACATCGCAATGTCTGTATCAGCAAAGGGTTCGACAAACGCGGTGATGGGATATTTTTCCAGCCACTCTAAGTAGGTATCGAGGAGGGTCTGTGCGGAGGTTAGTTCGAGTGCCGTGGTGTCAGACGAGAACGTCGTCAAGTCGTACTCTGTTGTACGTTCTTCGTCTTTCTCGACCACCTCGCCCTCTTCTGACGATGGAACAAGCCTTGACGCGTGCACGTCTACCACGAACTCCACCCTCCCCAGGTGCCCGACTGTGTCAAGTGATGTCATCAAGCAATCCACCAGGTGCTCAAAAGTGCCGGCACCGTTGCAGAACCCCCCTCGGGGACCGCGCTGCAGGACTTCTTGGCCTGCATTTCGGGCGGTACCCTCCAAACTTCGATGCACCGCACTCGCGACAGCTAGCCGGTCGGAAAGAGATACCAAATCACCAGTGGGCACAATGAAAATATCCTGTAAAGCAACAATGAAGGATAGCAGTTCCGAGAGTTTATTTTCTGTGATGTAGAAAATTTCGAGCTTGGAGTAGCTGATTTGAGACAATAGAAGCTACCAAAGATGTAAAAACATGGGCTAGAATGTCATGACACGCGACCCATACAGCTTACTTGTCACGTTTGATTTTTTCTATTGCGATGCCTGCTTTGCAGACGCGCATGTGACTAGGTTTGCAAACCTCGACGACAGAGCAACCATCAACCCGACATGACGCATGTTTCGGATAGAACTTGTCATTCTGGTGTTGTAGCAGCCGTTTGCTCGTGTATCGGTTCTGAGCGTGCAGCACAATAGTACTGTAGTTCAAATCGACCATAGCGACGTTTCCACCATCCGTACTGCTCGTGTCCTCACCTGAACCCACAACGATGACGCCGCCGATTGACCTCCGTTTATCGTACTGAAAGCCGTTGCAGGAATCCTCCCATCAGAGTTGTCGCACATGTTACCGATGTGATCGAATACTGCCACGAGATTCTGCTTCGCACCAGCCTTGCAACATGCTATTGATGCTGCCGAAACGACGTTCGCGGGCAAGGTGGACTCTTGAGTGAACGACTTGTCTATCTTGGTCTGGTGTGAAGGGTCTTTGCCCAGGAGAATCTCGGCAAGGATCTGATCAGTGTGTTCCACAGCCTGGAGCAGCCCCCTTCCTTCGAAGACCTCTTTATTGTCATCGTAGGGACCAGAGCTTACCGCGGCAAACACAGGGCCCTGACAAGCACCACGCGCAATTGGGTGGGGTACAGCGCAGTAGGTGGTGAAGAATTGCACCAAAAATATGGGCAAATATTTGTACCATAGATAGAGTTTACAATCAAGCATCTGCCCGAGGTAAACAAGGTGAATAGAACTACACGATATGTTGTTTAGTAGGTATATGAACGAAACACCTACCCGAAAACGATGCAGTAGTTTGATATCGCCATTCTTCGTGGAAATCGCTTCGCCGAAAAGGCTAACTACAGAAGCTCTGCGTGCAAAATGTCGGACATGATGCCTTACCTGACCCGTACGAATCTCCACTTCTAAGGCGGGAAGCGCCTCGCCATTAAGAATCTGCCGCCCATGTACTTTTTGAATCTGTCTCGAAGCGTCAGAGCACGCTCGTAGCGCATCGCCGAGCTTAGAGAGCGGATCTTTCGGCCGTTCTTTCACAACCTCGTTGACCGCGTCCCCGATGAAGGTTTGCAAGTGGTGCTGTTTCAGGTACGCCTCGATTTCCCTCCTTTCTTCTTGATCGTCTGCCATGGGACGTTGTAGACTAATTGTTGCACAATTATCGCCTGTTTGCCCTTCGTCTAGTTGAGGAATGACTAGAGAACGCACCCGCGAGATCGCCAGATCCTGCAATGTCTAAAACAAAAATTGGGAAAAGATCGCAAAGATCGAGGGGCTCCGCGGATTTGTACCTGATACCACGCGCCCCCCACTTAGGGTAATTGCTCCGCAGTTGGTTATGCCGCACCAGCACACCAGCACGGCCAGACACAGCAGTCCATCGGCCACTGCGCAGCTTCGCGTGCTTTTCCTACCGTATCAAGCAAGGGGGATGAGATGGGTTCGAAACTCTGCACGGTTGGGCCTGCGCGCTGTATCATACAATAGTGCAGCGCAAGGTCTGAAGCATACGCGCCCCCTCCCTATCTGCGTCTCATCAAGGACAGCAGTAAAAGCAGCAGAGCGACCAACGGCAACCGATGTCTCTGCTGGGCGCCCTCTTCGTGTGTGTGTGGTCGGCTCCGGGCCTGCTGGGTTTTACGTCACCAAGTACTTGCTCAAGGTGAGTGCGCGACACGGTACCGACCGCTCCTATGCAACATGCCCACAGCAGAGAGTAGCATAGATTGGCAATGGCAGCTCACGTTGTGGCCCTCTCTTGGTGGGTAATGTGCATAAAATCCGCACTGCTCTGCTGCCACCTCGGTGTTCCGTTCCTGCAAGTTATCTCCGACACAGGAACAGCAAAGTGCACCCAGCGATGTTAGACTAGATGGCTGGCGGAATGAGCGTGAAAGGGCGATATGAGGTCAGGCAGAACCCGAGTCGTTGTCGCGGCTATTGTAGACACGCTCCTCGTTGTTTCTTCTTTTACATTGTGGGTCCAGGCTTGGTCTCTCTGTATGTTTGCGCACCAGCTGGGTCACACACAGGAGGGAATCTCGAATTCTCCACCTCTTCGTCTGCGATATAGTAGAGGTCCCTATTTAGTGCTGGGGTGTGCGCCGAAATTTCACCGGCACTAAACCGGACACCAGCATTATTCGAAGTACAGAACGACTTGGTATTCCAGTGTGTGGGGGCCGAAAACACCGGCACTATAACGGCATCCGGCACCATTCAACCGGCACTAAAAAACAGGGACCTCTACTCTGTAGTTGCCTTCGACTTGTCATGTGAGAAGGATTCAGTAGTCGCTTCCCTCGCGCCTGTCCGCCTTTGCTCCGAATTGGGAGTATTTTTTCCCGATATTCGAACCCGCACCGTATGATGTGAATACAGCAGGAACGGGACCACCGGGGTGCGCATCAGCTTTTTTGCACCTGTACCCTCACGACGCATGTGCGTGCATTTTTGTGCCAATAGGAAGAGGCGGAGCTGGGGTGCGAAGTCGTCATTGACCTAGTCGACCGGCTGCCCACTCCGTACGGCTTGGTGAGGTTTGGGGTAGCCCCTGATCACCCGGAGGTAAAGGCCGTGCAAAACGACTTCGACCAGGTGAGTGCCAAGAGCCTGCAAATTTCACGAGCTTGATCAAAGGATTTATTGGTTTCGAACGGCAGTGTGGGTTTATTATGTACGTACCACACGAGCACCGGGTAGCAGCGCAGCTTTCACCCATTCGCTTGGCTCTCGACGCGTATCAACTGTTGGGCGTACCTGTAGTGCCGATACACTAGACAGGGAGTTGCCGATTTGCACCTGTTGAAGGGAAACCGATCCTCATTTGCGCCCGACGCTTCAACTGCCGTCATTTTGCCTGTAGATTGCCTCAGATGCCAGGGTCAGTTTTTTCGGCAACGTGTGCTTCGGGAAGGATGTGTCAGCTGCACAACTGTCCGAGCTGTACGACGTAGTTGTGTTGGCTTACGGGGCTGCAGGAGACAGGGAGCTAACCGTCCCGGGGGCTGATCTCGAGGGGGTGTTTGCAGCACGTGCTTTCGTGTCGTGGTAAGTACAGCACCCGCGAAGGTACAGGATTGCTCGCCGTTGTTTCATCCAAGCCAACAGGGTAGGTACCGCCGCCATCGACCTACCGCTGAGGATATTGGAGCCAGCAGCTTTTATTTCAACAGATTTCAAAACGTTGGGTTTGCGGTCCGATTGCGGCCGAAGTGGATGCTCGCTGCGGTATATCGTACCCATCCAACCGGGCCTGATGAAACCAGTAAACACTGAGATTTTCAGATTATTCCTCAGACTGGGATCCTGGCACGGGCGTCCACTGAAAGTCTTTGTTGGTAGAGTTGTTGGGCGAACACGACGCTGCCCGCATTTGCTACATGCATAGTCTTCTTCGCCCGTGTAGGTGATGTGCGACGACGACGGGAGATGTTCCCTCTTTTAGACAACCACGTTTTCCTCATGGACTTGGTGGCACACAAACTGTTCGGCGGGTAGATGCCCTTATCTTGTGACCACCAGCTTGACGTGATCGGTATGAATGACGACGTGTTTATGCCATGACAGGTACAACGGACACCCTGACTTTGCCAATATGTCGGAGGAGTTTGCGAAAGCCTTGGCGTCATCCGACACGGTGGCGGTGGTTGGTGTTGGCAACGTAGCGCTAGACTGTGCGCGAATTCTTGCAAAGGGTAAGAAAGATTCACGATGCGGATGTTGGAGATTTTCTGCAGGTTGGTGATCTCTTTCGCGCGGCGCACCGACCAAGAGATTGTGCACGCGCCGAGGAAGTCACTCTTGCCTGGTTTGAAGTCAATCCTTGCGTCGAGAGGTTTCATAACCATGCCCGCAATCTCCTCGGGTTCAAACACAGTTCGCGGTTACACGAATGTGTTGTCCTCATCAGTATCACCCTTTCCACTGGCACTGGCGTTCCGGTTCAATCCGTTTGTGATATGCATATCAGCAGGAGCGAACGCTCTGAAAGATTCGGACATTTGTGATCACGCGCTGGACGTTTTGTCCTCCGCCGGTGCTGGCCTCCGACGAGTGGTGATCCTCGGACGCCGGGGGCATGTACAGGCGTCCTTCACGATGAAGGTGTGTCGTCGAGGTTAAGATGCTACATTGCGCGACATAGGTTTCACTCAGACAACTTCCTCATTAACGTGTGAAAAGTTTACCGCTCCGCTGATGGCCGTATTTGGTAGCCTTCTGCCTTAAAATCTTGAATAGCTTTCAAGGTGACTTGTGTCCTGTGTTTACGTTTACATTGATCGTGGTGTGAACCACATCTGTGTGTCAGCCGTGCATGCGATGACGCTTCCTGTGTTGCTTTCGTCCCTTCCAGGAGCTTCGTGAGCTTACGAAGCTAGAAGGAGTAGCCTGTTTAGTGAGGCAAGAGGAGCTCGAGCTGAGCCGAACTCCAGCAAGCCTAGACGAGCTCAAGACAGCACGGCCAAAGAATAGGATAGATGCATTGCTCACGAAGGTGCGGCAACAGCGATGCATCCACCTAGCACCAGTTTGCTAGCACGTCGGGGTATACCTTTCTTTTTACCTGTGCTCTGTCGGTTGGTTTTGACCCTCGCCAATCGGGGCCTAATCTCCTTGTTGGTTTACGCTGACCGTTCGCATCGGTGTCAACTTGTTAGCGACACTGCATACCTACGAAAGTGCTGCTAGGGCACCAAACTAGGGATTTGAGGCCATCTATGCAATTTCTCAGAAAATAACGCCTCATCAGGTCCGACACCCCCGCCGTTCGACGAAAAACATTTCTGGGACATGTGGTACACGGCACTCTTACAACACCTCGTTTCGCGCGACGTCTTCTACGATGACGAAAAGTAGGAAGATGTGCTCAAGTTCACCCGGAATTCCCTCCTCCATGACTATCGAAACTATGAGTCCATTGTGAGAAACCTCTCCCAACAACCTGCCGTTCATCGTTTCATGATTTGGTAACGTGCTGCCACCACACGCAATAAACTAAGGCGGCGGGTGGATCTGACAGCGTGTCGACAGAGGCAAAGGCCGTCGAGTTTCGCTTCCTGGTTGGACTCTCGGACGTCCTTCCGAACAAAAGCATTCCCAATAGGTGCGGGCAAACTGGGAATTGGCACATGAAATCGAAGAAGCGCTTCTCAAAAGTTTGATTTGCGAAATCTAGCGGTCCTATTTGCACAGCGGCGCTCCCGCAGGGTGATGATGCGATTCGTGTGTTAAAGCACGTCTTGTTCTCACTACAGGCCTTTCAGGCTACGGCAAAACTTTCACTAGTGGGTTCTGACACGAACCCGACCGGAATTTCGTCGTTGCGGACGACCTTACTTGTTACTGTTAGATCCTTGTTCTCTCTCCGGTTTTGTGCGATGTGCACACCTTTGTCGTGTTTTTCCAGCATTGAAATGGTCTGCTTGATAGAATCTCGTCCCGAGTTTCCGTCGCTTGTTGCCAAACAACGGCGTGTTTAGTACGGTAATTCCTCACCGCCTTGATCGCTCGATGGATGGTGACATTTCGTTCCCAAGCAGGGTTGGCGCAGTCCGCGTTGAACGGAATCAGTTAGAGCTCGACGAAGCCACGGGCGCCCAACGGGCCGTTGGCTCGGGCGTCCAAGAGGTCATTGAGTGCGGGATGGTGCTCGGTTCTATCGGCTACCGCTGTCTTCCTGGTCAGGGTGTGCCGTACGACGAACGAAATTCGATCATCGCGAACGAACGGTGAGCCAGCTTGTTCTGGTATGATGAATAACCGAATGGAGTTGTATTTATATCCCCCGCCGCATACGTACGCCATCACCGAGTTGCAATCCTAAGCACTTTTATATGAACTCTAACCCTTGGTCGTCGTCATTACGTGCAGGGGAAGAGTGCAGGGGGTACCTGGCATGTACTGCAGCGGCTGGGCTCGGCGTGGGCCAAGTGGAATCATCGGCACCAATATAACCGATGCTAGATCTGTGGTGGCTGCCATCGTCGAGGACGTCAGGTCAGAAACAAGGGCAATTTCTGGCCTTTCGTTGTCTACTGCTGTGTCGTTGAAAAATTCGCACGTCGCGCTGGGTATTCTCCATTCTTCTTGCTCTGCTCTATTGTGAGCTGAAGTTGTGTTACAAACGGCCGAAAGCATGCCACGTGTGCCATGCATGGATGATTTCAACGGTCCTGGTGGCGATTTGTACGGCACTTCGAAATCACCCCCAGGTGTAAACTGCTGATCGCAGCCCTTTTGACAACCCCTCTCTCGTAGTTCGACACAAACGTAGTTGAAGCAGGTGCCTCTGAGACTATGAAAATGAAGCATTTCGTTTAAATGCTGCTGCTACGGTATTTGTCATCCCTTACGATGCCTTTTCGCACTCCACGTATGACCTGCCTATTTCCACTCCCAGGAGCAAGCAGATGGCGTTGGGTGATAAAGCCGAAGGTCGACAGGGTCTAAGAAATATTTTGATGGGGGGGCAAGATGGTGCACCTGGGCTTCGCGGATCGGGTGGGACCAAGCAAAAGGTCCAGGTAGTGGATTGGGACGGCTACCAGAGAATAAATCGGCATGAGATAGCACGAGGAGCGATGAAGGGCAAGCCGAGAGAAAAGTTGGTGCATGTTGATGAAATGTTGAGCATCGCCACAGCTGTTGGTGATGAGTAGTGACTTGTAGGCCGTCGCGTCCTCTCCCCTGTAGTCTCGGAGCTTTTTCATGTTGTCTTGAATTGCTTTATCTTTCCATGCCCCACCGAGGCACGCGGCAAGGGATGCCGTTTCTGACTGGAAAATAGGATGTCAGTGTCTCACGTGTAAGTTTGGTTCTAACCCCATTGAAATCGACGGTTTGGTTTGTGCGCAAGGAAGAGTGGCAGGCGAGTGTCGCTCAGTCGGCACAGCAGCAGCAGTGTCTTGGCTGCGGCAAACAGCGCATCTACGCATCATGCAATAGGAGAAACCGAGTCCATGGGTCTGCTGTGACTATTTGATCCAGGTGGCACCAATCCTTTCCCCGCCGTGTTTCTCTGCTAATTGAAACCGGGGTCTCACAAAGCTTCGACACGACACCAGAGGGAATGCATTTGTTCTTTTCATGGAGACATTCAGTTGGCACGCATGGCCCCGCATTTTGTGTCAACGCCTTGCCCACCCTGAGCCCTACTACATATCATCCACGCCTCTACGAAAGCCCATTTTCGGGCTGCTTTTCTGCCAGTAGCTGCGCCTCCTGCTGCTCCAGCTTCTGCAGTGTTATGCTCTTAATGGGCATCAGCTTCGGTTTACATAGCACCTGCACGTCACGTGGCATCCACCAAACAACGCACAGTACGCACAGCAGTGTACGGGGGAGTTGCGAACTTATTTAGAACAAAGGGGCGTTGCCCTGCTCACCCGGTAGGCGGAGGTTCTCAGCGCCAGTTCGCAACTCAGAGTCGAATTTGCATAAAAACCCATGCATCCACATACTTAGTGATATTGTCTGAAAGAAAATCTCACCTCGCTGAGGGTTGTCTTTTCGCTGTACACAAGGCCATTCTTAGGGAGGAGCTCGGCGAGACTTGCGGCGTCTCGGGGTGCGTTTTGTTCCACACGAGAGTCCGCCATGAAAACGCGTGCTGCTTCAGTGCGGGCGTCTCGCTACCCAACTTATCGCGACAAGGGGTAGGTGTGGTGGATGGATCGGATCCATCATCTCTGGCCGGTGGATCTTTGAAGATCTTGTTTATTGTTTTTCCGTCTCCTTGGTGGTCCCCTTTTCCCGGGCCTTTGCCGCCTAGCAAACCTTGTGTGTTCAACTCCCGAAGCGGCGAAATTTTGTAGCTCATCGTTTGCTCGGTCCCTTGGTCCCAGCCCAGCTCACGGCCAGCTTTGTAAGCAGAACCACCTGCCTCGATGGAGCCTCGTGATTCACGATCAGGTCACCGGGTGGCATATGTCTCCCTACTGGCTCTTCTAGCGACGGACCTAGCTTTTAGTTTCGTCGGAAGAGTGGCTGCTTTCGCACAGCCGCCGCATCGTGGGCACATGCTCACACGCACCCGTGAGTATGGAGTCGCGTTAGCTCGCAAGCAGACATCTTGACATTCTCTATTCAAGCCACGCAACAACATACCAACTGCTTTTGTCGCTATACCGGCAGTACTTTTGGCGTAGCTTCGTCTGATGTGAACGCTCCTTTGCCCACTGCGGTATCAGTGGATCCGTATCACGCACGTGCGTCCTTGTTGGCAACTGCTGTGTGACGTATCCTGTGGTGTTGTTGAACGCATGTGTTTGAGTTTTTGATTGAGCCATCCTCATCCATTATTTCATTGATTCACGAAGGGGTCGTATACCGCTGCTGCTATCCAGCCGCACTTACCGTACAGAAGGCGCGTGTACAGATACGCCCTTCGCATTTTATGCACCCAGTGTATCGCATTCGTGTACAGCTCGGTAACTTCAATTTGCATCACGGACGGTGGTCGCCGTCGACTTCAACTAGGACAAACCCTAGGCCAACAGGACAACGTGCTGGGGGGGGGGGGGGGGG